AACAGAGAACAGATATATAATGTAAGTCCTAAGCAAACAAACAAAACAAAAACCTTAGTACTTCTTACGACTTATTTGCTGGGCTTGGTGGCTCAGTCTGTAATCCCAACACTTTGGGAGGCCGAGGTGAGTGAATTGCCTGAGCCCGCAGGTTCGAGACCCATCCAGGCAACTTGGTGAGACCTCGTCTCTACAATAAATCAAAAATTAGCGCATCTGTAGTTCCAGCTCCTTGGAAGGCTGAGGTGGAAGGCATTAATTTCTACAATGTCTGCCAAGACACATTGATCAAAACAAAATCCACTCTCAGAGTAGCTGAAACTCAAAGGAGAACAACCCCCCCCCCCTTTTTTGGCTCAAAAACGTTTGGACAAGAAAGCTGCAGGGAGCAGAGGAATGCTGAGCTTTGGAAGCCCTTGGAAGTCATTGGAAGCAAGAAAACAAAAGCTCATTCTCCATTCCTGGCTGTCTTCTGAGAGTCATCTTTGCTTTTTGCATGAAAGAAAGACCTGCTTCCTCCTCTGGTGGGACACATGGTCATCAAGAACTCCCGAGTTTTATTTTTTTTATTTTTATCATTTAATTTTTTATTTTTGAGTTGGAGTCTCACTCTGTCAACCAGGCTGGAGTGTGGTGGCATACTCACAGCCGTTGCAGCCTTGACTTGCTGGGCTCAGGTGATCCTTCTGCCTCAACCTTCCAGGTAGCTGGAACCACAGGTGCATGCCACCACACCCGGCTAATTTTTTTGACTTATTGCAATGACAAGTTATTGCCAAGTTGCCTGGGCTGGTCTCAAACCCCTGGGCTCAGGTAGTCCTTTTGCCTCTGCCTCCCAACGTGCTGGGATGACAGGCATGAGCCACCATGCTCACCTAGTCTGGTTAGTCTTTTCAAAGAGCCTATTTCTGGCTCTATGAGCTTCTCTATTGTATTTGTTTCCTTTTTAAAAAAAATAATTTCCACTCTAATCTTTATTTTCCCTCTTACTTTTTGGGGGTATATTTTGTTGTTTATTCAGCTTCTTGAAATGGATGCCTAGCTCATTCATTTTCAGCTTTCTCTCTCTCTCTCTTTTTTTTTGTTTTTGAGTTGGAGTCTCCCTCTGTCACCCAGGCTGGAGTGCAGTGGCATGCTCATGGCCACTGTAGCCTCAACCTGGGCTCAGATGATCCTTCTGCCTCAGCCTTCCAAGTAGCTGGACCTACAGGCATGTGACCACGCCCTGCTTATTTTTTTACTTATTGTGGAGATGAGGTCTTGCCAAGTTGCCCAGGCTGGTCTTGAATTCATGGGCTCAGGCAATCCTCTCGCCTCTGCCTCCCAAAGTACTGGGATGACAGGCATGAGCCACTGCACCTGAATGAACTCCTGAGTTTTAAAGAGTCTTTTCTGCAGCAAGAGAGCAGAGGGACACTCCTCCTCACGTTCCCCCACACACACGTGACATGGGAGCTGTCACCCCGGGGCTGTGTGGGGAGGGGAGGGGTCAGAGGTTGTGGTTTCAAGTGCGTTGTTCCCAAGAGCTTCTGGGTGAAGCCAGGATAAACCAGGGCCAGCTCTTGGGTGTTAGAGATGGAATGTTTGTGACCCCCCAAATTCACATTTTGAAACTTAAGCCCCAAGATGATGATGCTAGGAGATCAGAGCTTTGGGAGGTGAGTAGGTGATAAGGATGGAGCTCCCAGGAATGGGATTAGGGCCCTTATAGAAGAGACCCCAGGCCAGACGCAGTGGCTCACATCTGTCATCCCAGCACTTTGGGAGGCCAAGGTGAGAAGATGGCTTGAGCCCCAGAGTTCAAGACCAGCCAGGGCATCACAGCAAAACTTTCGTCTGTACTAAAAACATACAAATTTCTGGGCGTGGTGGTACACGCCTGTAGTCCTAGTCACTTGAGAGGCTTAGGTGGGTGAGTTGCTTGAGCCCAGGCGTTTGAGGTTGCAGTGAGCTATGATTGCACCACCGCACTCCAGTCTGAGCCACAGAGTGAGATCTTGTCTCAAAAAAAAAAAAAAAGAAAGAAAGAAAGAAAGAAGGAAAGAAAGAAAAGAAAATGGAAAAAAGAAAGACATATAGCTGGGCACAGTGGCTCACGTGTGTAATCCCAGTTCTTTGAGAGGTGGAGGTGAGAGGATTGCTGGAACCTGCGGGTTCGAGACCAGCCTGGGCAACATGGCAAGACCTCATCTCTACAAACAATGAGCTGGGTGTGGTGGTGCATGCCTGTAGTTCCAGCTACTTGGAAGGCTGAGGCAGGAAGATTGTCTGAGCCCAGCAGGTCGAGGCTATGGTGGCCAAGACGTATGATTAGCCTGGCTACTCCCTCCCTTTTCCCTCCTTCCCTCATCTCTTCCTCCCTCTCTCTTCCTTTATTTTCTGAACAGGGTCTCCCTCTGTCACCCAGGCTAGAGTGCAGTGGCACAATCCCAGCTCACTGCAGCCTCCACCTCCTGGTCTCAGGGTGTCCTCCCATCTCAGCCTCCTGAGTAGCTGGGACTACAGATGCACATCATCACACTAGGCTAGTTTCTAAAAACTATTTGTAAAGATGGGGGGGGGAGGTCTTGCTATATCACCCAAGCTGGTCTCAAACTCTTGGCTTCCAAGAATCTTCCTGTGTCCGCCTTTCAAAGTGCTGGGATGACAGGCGTAAGCCACAGGGCCTGGCCCCAATTTTCTTTCTGTATGTGGGGTCATTTAGAGACCCTAAGAGAATATTCTGAGCATCCACAGCCTGCATATACATTTATCCTCAGCCTATGTTTTAAGGCAAACAAAGTCAAACTCCAAATTTCATAAAAATCCACTCAGTAGTTTTTAAAAAATTTATTATTTTTATTAGTTGGAGTCTCACTCTGTCGCTCAGGCTGGAGTGCAGTGGCACGCTCATGGCCACCCCAGCCTCAACTTACTGGGCTCAGGCGATCCTTCCACCTCAGCCTCTCAAGTAGCTGGGAGTACAGGCACACACCACCACATCCAGCTAATTTTGTGATTTATTGTAGAGACAAGGTCTCACTATGTTGCCCAGACTGGTCTTGAACTCCTGGGCTCAGGCAATCCTCTTGCCTCAGCTTCCCGAAGTGCTGGTATTGCAGGCATGAACCACCCAGCCAAAAATTTCATATATATATACAGAGAGAGTTTTTTGTTTGTTTGTTTTCTGTTTCTTTCTCTTTTTTTGTCAGAGTCTCACTTTGTCACCCAGGTTGGAGTACAGTGTCACGCTCATGGTCACCGCAGCCTTGACATCCTGGGTTCAGGCAATCCTCCTGCCTCAGTCTTCCAAGTAGCTGAAACTACAGGCACACACCACCATGCCCAACTAATTCTGTGATTCATGGTAGAGACGAGGTCTCGCCAAGTTGCCCAGGCTGGTCTAGAACTCCTGGGCTCAGACAATCCTCTCTCCTCTGCTTTCCAAAGTTTTGTGATTATAGATGTCAGCCATCACACTCAGCCTTGTTTTTTTTTTTTTAATTATTGATTTTACATTAGAGACAGGGTCTCACTATGTTGCCTAAGCTCTCTTATACTCCTGTCCTCAAGCAATCCTCCTGTCTCAGCCTCCCAAAGTGCTGGGATTACAAGAAAACTGTTGCACCCAGTCCCCACCCAGTCATTTCTGAGAGGTGGGGAAACAAAAAGACAGAAATTTGATTTTTAAAAATTTATTCAACAGTTATTTATTGAACTCCCACTACATTGAAAGCCTCTTTTGGGTCCTTGGAATACAGCAGTGAACAAAACAGGGACCCCTGCCCTCAGGACCCACATTTGCATCATTTACTTCCTTAGTAAATGGAGCAAATCACCCTCGACATTTTCCGGTGCCTACATCGCTCCTTCTTTTTTTTTGAGGTGAGGGTCTCACTGTGTTGCCCAGGCTGAAGTGCAGTGGCATGATCACAACTCATTGCAGCCTTGACCTCCTGGGCTCAGATGATCCTCCTGCCTCAGCCTCCTGAGTAACTGGGATTACAGGTATGTGCCATCACACCCAGCTACTTCTTGTTATTTTTTTTGTAAAGACGAGGCCTTGCTATGTTGCCCAGCCTGGTCTCAAACTCCTGGGCTCAAGAAATCCTTCCACCTTAGTCTCCTAGAGTGCTGGGATTACAGGCGTGAGCCACTGAACCCAATCGATTAATTCTGCAGAAATTAATATACAGCATTTGGTCTATGCTTTAAATCCTTTTTTATTTCCTCACAATTGAACATACTAGTTTACATTCAAAGACCATCTACTTCTGACAAAGTATTTACATTTTTGAAGCCCATATTTTTTCTTCATTTACCTAATTATCACTAATATCTGTATTTTTTTTTTCTATTTTCCACTCATAGGGTAAAATTAGTCATTGAATTGAACTGAATCCATTTGTTCATTTTCTCCGAGCTTGCTGTATTTCCTTGAGGGACTTAATCATTATTTGCTGGATAGTTGATCCATAATAATTGATTATTTCCTTGAATTGTTTTGGGGGGAATTGTGGGGTAGAGACAGTGGGATGGGATTCTCAGGCATGGCTAATCAATAAATAAGTCATACTTTTTTTTTTTTTTGAGTCTAGGTTTTACTCTATCACCCAGGCTGGAGTGCAGTGGCACAATCATGGCTCACCACAGCCTCGACTTCCTGGGCTCAGGTGATCCTCCCTCCTCAGCCTCCCAAGCAGCTGGGACTACAAGCACACGCCACTAAGCCCAGCTAATTTTTTGACTTTTTGTAGAGACCAGGTCTCACTATGTTGCCCAGACTAGACTCCAACTCCTGACCTCAAGCAATCCTCCCACCTTGGCCTCCCAAGACGCTGGGAGGATTACACGCACAAGCCACTGCACCCAGCCCAGTTATACTTTTTCCATTAAGATGAGAAACTTAATTTCACTAATATAGATTAGGAGCGAGAGACCCAGAGTCACCTGGGTTTTCACACGTCCGATAACCTGGCTATCTAAATTCACTCTCCTCCTGTGACTCTCGCTGTCTGTTTCTACACTTTCAGGGTTGCATAGTCACTGGATCTGGGGGGCTCCTCAGTGGGGGCAGAGGCTGCCTTGGACAGTGCGGTGGCGTTTAGTTCAGTGTAGGTCACTCCCTGGGGGTCTTCAGTCTTTGGGGAAAAGAGATGGATACAGACAGGCATTTAGAGCTGAGTGGTCCTGAATGGCTGCACTATCCACAAACGGCCATTTATTTTAAGTGGAGTAGAATTAAATTAGATGCGGAATTCAGGTCTTCAGTCATGCCAGATGCATTTCAAATGCACTATGACCACTGTGGTTACTTCACTGGGTCATACAGATACAGAACAGTTTCATCATCAAAGTTCTGTCCAGGCCGGGTGTGGTGGCTCACCCCTGTCATCCTAACACTTTGGAAAGCAGAGGTGAGAAGCTTGCTTGAGCCTGTGGGTTCAAGACGAGCCTGGGCAATATGGCAAGACCTCATCTCTATAATAAATCAAAAAATTAGCTGGGTGTGGTGGAGCACGCCTGTAGTTCCAGCTACTTGGAAGGCTAAGGCGGGAGGATCACCTAAACCCAGCAGGTCGAGGCTGCGGTGGCTGAATGTGCCACTGCCCTCCATCCTGGGTGACAGTGGGAAACTCCAGCTCAAAAAAGAGAAAGTTTTGTCTGATAGCACTGTTCTGGAAAGGCTGTGCTTCTGTTTTTGTTTGTTTGTTTTGTGATTGCTGTTTTTTTGTTTTTTGAGTTGGAGTCTCACTCTTTCGCCCAGGTTAGAATACAGTGGCACACTCACAGCCACTGCAGCCTTGACCTGCTGGCTCAGGTGATCCTTCCACCTCAGCCTCCTGAGTAGCTGGAACTACATGCATGAGCTACCACACCTGACTGATTTTTTGATTTATTGTAGAGACAAGGTCTTGCCATGTTGCCCAGGTTGGTCTCGAACCTCTGGGCTCAGGCAGTCCTCTCATATCCACCTCCCAAAGTGCTGGGATGACAGGCGTTGAGTCACCATGCCTGGCAGGATGAGGGGCTTTACTATAGGACCAATAAAATGACATCAAAATAAGTCATAATTGGCGCTTATAAAAATTAGGGCCAATGTATGGTTTTGAGATTCAAAACAATCCTCCCAGAACAGCTGATTATGTAACTATTATATTATTATGATATTATTATGATCAACAATTTGTTAATAGACACCATAAGTTGAACACTTAAAATAGACCAGATCTTACAAGCATACAGATAGAAGGAATATAGCCCTTGTGTTCAATAGCACAGCAGGGCAATTGTAGTTAACAACAATGTATTATATACTTCAAAGTAGCTAGAAGAGAAAATTTGAAGTGCTCCAAACACAAATTAATAAGAAGAGAGATATTCTATATACCCTGACTTGATCATTACACATTGTATGCATGTATCAAAACATCGCATGTGGTCAGACACAGTGGCTCACACCTAGAACCCCAGCACTTGCTTGAGTCCAGGTGTTAAAGACCAGCCTGAGCAACATAGGGTAATCTTATCTCTACACCTCTACACACACACACACACACACACACACACACACACACACACAATCAAATATATGATCCAGGCAGTGTGGCATATGCCTGTAGCCCCAGCTTTATGGAAGGCTGAGGCGGAAGGATTGCCAGAGCCCAGGAGGTCAAGGCTGTGGTGAGCTGTGATTACACCACTGCACTCCAGCCTGGGCAACAGAGTTAGACTCCAACTAAAAAAAAATCACGTGTGCCCCATCAATATGTATACTTATTTTGCACTAATAAAAAATAATAGATGAGAGAGAGGGGAATGATGAAAGCCAGGGGCCGGAGGTAGGGAAAATGGGCACCATGATAATTTCCCGGCTAATTCAAGTCAAGCAAAATAAAATCTGGGAGATCTGCTGTGTAACATAGACATGACAATGACCAATACCCTATTGTATGCTTAAAATTTTGTTGAAAGGCAGCTCTTCTGTTAAGTCCTCTTACCACAAGAGGGAGAGAGAAACACCAGAGGAAAAGAGGGAGCTTTTGGAGGTAGCAGATGAGTTTATGGTATTGATGGTGATGATAGTTAATGGTTTCAGGGGTGTATTCTTATCTCAAACACATCAAGCTGTAACATTACAGAGGTACAGTGTTTTGTAGAAAAGAAAAGAAAAAGACATAGACCCCCATCAACCATTTGTTGATGGATGCTTTGATGCCAACAATCTGATATTTAGAATTTGCCAGAGACTCTGATAAACCCTGTACGCTCATGGCATCAGTGGATTTACACAGGCCTTTTTTTTTGAGTCAGAGTTTCACTCTGTCCCCCAGGCTGGAGTGCAGTGGCACGCTGCTCACAGCCACTGCAGCCTTGACCTGCTGGGCTCAGGCAATCTTTCCGCCTCAGCCTTCCAAGTAGCTGGAACCAAAGGCACACAGCCACTACACCCGGTTAATTTTTTTACTTATGTTGAGACAAGGTCTCACCACGTAGCCCAGAATGGTCTCAAACCCCTGAGCTCAGGCAATCCTCTCGTCTCAGCCTCCCAAAGTGCTGGGATTACAGGCTTGAGCCATCTCACCCGGTCTGCACAAGCCTTTTAAATGAACTTTTTTTTTTGAGTTAGAGTCTCACTTTATCGCCCAGGCTGGAGTATAGTGGCACACTCACGGCCACCGCAGCCTCAACCTCCTGGGCTCAAGCAATCCTTCTGCCTCAGTCTCCCAAGTAGCTGGAACTACAGGCGTACGCCACTATGCCTGGCTAATCTTTTGATTTATTGTAGTGATGAGGTCTTGCCATATTGCCTAGGCTGGTCTCAAACATCTGGTTTCAAGCAATCCTCCCTCCTTGGCCTCCCAATGTGCTGTGATCACAGGCACGAGTCACTGTGCCCGGCCTCAAAGTCCATGTCTTTAAGCACCATGATAATTTCCCTGCTGAGTTAGGGACATCAATAAATCAGGGTGTGGGCTAAACCAGACATGACCAGCCCGTGGTGGTAAGGGAGCTATTAGGGAAGTCCTATGAGGAAGAACTCACCGAGAAAGATAGCTTTTCCATCTTGGGTAAATCTGCATGTCAGTGAGAGGAAAAAAAAGTCAGTTCTCAGGCTACAGGAGTCAGAATTGTGCCTACCCTCCCTCCCTCCCTCTCTTTCTCCCTCCTTCGTTCCTTTTTTTTTGATACAGGGACTCACTCTGTTGCCCAGGCTGGAGTACAGTGGCACAATCAAGGCTCACTGCAGCCTCGACCTCCTGGGCTCAGGCGATCCTTCTGCCTCAGCCTCCTGAGTGGCTGGGACTATAGCCACGTGCCTACACGCCCGACTAATATTTTTATTTTTTGTAGAGACAAAGTCTCACTATGTTGTCCAGACTGGTCTCGAACTCCTGGGCTCAAGTGATCCTCCCGCCTCGGTCTCCCAAAGTGCTGGGATTACAAATGTGAGCCATGGCGCCCTGACAGAACTTAGTTTTTTTATCCCATGATTCTCTTAACTTTGCTGTTGACCTACCTGTAACCTCCTGTTCAGATAATTTGGAATGGCTGGTTCTGAGAGAGAGAAAGACACGTGAAACTTTAAGAACTGAAAATGGGAGGCAGAGGATATAGGCGTTGGAGAGGAGAAAAGAGAGGGCACAGGTGGGATGGGGTGGGGGCCCAGGGCGGGGATGGCAAGACTGTCATGGATATGCAGATGGGGTCTCTGAATTTGGGGGGATAGGGGAGTAGGGATTGGGGAGGTGGAGGGAATGGGGGGTGGGAGGCACGAGCTGGGTCAGGTATGCCCACCTCCTGGTGGATTCTTCATGTGATGAACCTATAAAAAAACCACACAAGATGAATTGTTTTTGACTCAGGCTTTCACTCTGTCACCCAGGTTGAGTGCAGTGGCATGACCACAGCTCACCGCAGCCTCAATCTCCTGGGCTCAGGTGATCCTTCCACCTCAACCTCCCAAATAGGTGGGACTACAGGTGCACGCCACCATACTTGGCTGATTTTTTAAAATTTTATTTTATTAAAAATTTTTTTTTTAGGCCGGGTCCAGAGGCTCAAGCCTGTAATTCCAACACTTTGGGAGGCCAAGGCAAAAGGATTGCCTGAGCTCAGGGGTTCAAGACCAGCCTGGGTAATTTGGTGAGACCTCGTCTTTACAATTAAAAAAAATGCCAGATGCGGTAGCATGCACCTGTAGTTCCAGCTACTTAGAAGGCTGAGGTGGAAGGATCGCCTGAGCCCAGTAGGTTGAGGTTGCGGTGGCCATGAGGGTGCCACTGCACTCCAGCCTGGGTGATAGAATGAGACTCTGACTCAAAAAAAAAATTATTATTTTTTTGTAGAAATGAGGTCTCGCTATGTTGCCCAGGCTACTTTCGAACTCCTGGGCTCAAGCAATTTGCCCTCCTCGGCCTCCCAAAGTGTTGGGATGACAGGCTGAGCCACCGTGCCTGGCCAACACAAGGATGAAATTCATCTACCTAGAAAATCCTTGACTCCGCCCCCTCTCTTCCCGCTCTCTGAACTCACCCTGCTGACTGCATCTGTAGATGAAGAAAATGGAGAGGAAGAGGAGGAGGATGGAGATGCAGGTAAAGGTGGTGACGAAGATGATTCTGGTGTCTGCTGGGAGAAGGGTGGGTCAGAGAATCAGTCTGACTGTGGAGACACACGGACCAAGGTTAGCAGGACAAGGGAAGAGGAACCAGATGGATGGCCTGGCTTCCAAGACTGGATCTGCTGCCTTGAGCTTGAACTTCCGATGACCTTGGGGAATTTCCTTAATCTGCCTTCGATGCTTCTGTCTCCCCATCTATGGAGTGAGGATGGCAGCAGTAGCTACTTTATTGGATGATGGGGAAACTAAATGACTCCATATGTACAGAGAGGATTAGGGCAGTGCCTTGCACGTGGGACATTCCCTGTAACTGTTTCATCCATGACATTGATATTGATCAGTTATTGCAAGCCAGCTCTGGGCTGGGTGCTTCATATTTATTCTTTCTTATCTTGAAATAAGCACATAAGATAGATTTACTATCCCCATATTGGAAATTCATGACTGAGCACCAGGAAATAGTAAGTCTGATACACTTTTTTTTCTTTATTGTGTTGGAGTCTAGCTTTGTTGCCCGGGCTAGAGTACAGTGGCACGATTATGGCTCACCATAGTCTCGACCTCCTGGGCTCAGGTGATCCTTTTGCCTCAGCCTCCCAAGAGGCTGGGACTATAGGTGCACGCAACCACGCCCAGCTAATATTTTGATTTTCTGTGGAGATGAGGTCTCGCCAAGCTGTCCAGGCTGGTCTTGGACTCCTGGGCTCAAACAATCCACCCCCTCAGCCTCCCAAAGTGTTGGGATTACAGGCATGAGTCACCACACCTGGTCACTATTTTAAATTCCTGCAGCAACCCTGCGAGACTGGTATCATCATTTCCATCTCACTGATGAAGGAGATACATGTGTGTGAGTCCTGGGATTATAAGAGAATTGTATCCAAGCTTACAGCGTTACAAAGGAGCCATGGCATAAATTAAGGCTGGGTGGTAAATCCTACACAATTCCCCCTAGTCTTTGGTTTCTCGGTTCTTTAGACTAAAGATACATACGTGGTGAAACTTGAAGGAGTGGGAAGCAGAAAAATGATTGGAGACAAAACGTTTAGTAACTGTAGAAGCACCTGGCCACGACCCTCACTGTCTGTGTGCTTGGGTCTTACAGAGTTTCCAGATGTGAGATGGTCCACGGTCGCACAGCACAGCCAGGTCTGCAAGGAGCCCTTCACGGCATCTGATCCTCTGCACCAACGGAGGGACTTCAGCCGGACCGTTCCCTGCTTGGTCCCCTCACTATCTATATGTCTACATTCTACATGTCTATACATGTAGGATTATCTATCTGCTGTCTATCTCCACCTAATTTACCTATCTAGCTAACATATCTATCATATAAGTATATAGTATCTATATATTATCTATCTATATCTAATCTATCTATTCTATATACTTACTGATTATTGATCAATCATCACCTAATCTATCATCTATCTAATCTACCTATTATTCTATTATGCTCTCTATCTCTCTATTTACTCTGCCATCTATCTATTTATCCATCTATTTACCTATCATCTATCTAATTTATTCAATCTATCAGTCATCTATTTAATCTATCATGCAATCTCTCAATCTACCAAGCATCTATTTACCTGTCTATTTTATCTATCTATCTATCTATCTATCTATCTATCTATCTATCTATCTATCTATATTTACCTACCTACCCATCTCCCTGTTCTATCTACCTACCTGTCTACCTACCTACCTACCTATCCACCTACCTGTTCTATCTATCTACCTGTGTATACATCTGAAATGAGGCTCTCTCTTAACTGGTCAGCAGAGAGTAGTGAAGGGAGTGGAGGGTTTGTAATGAGACACACTTGGGATCTCCCATGCATAGACTTTATAAATGTTCTCTTCTTTTTCTGGAATCAGTAATTCCTTGGTTAAATAAAAGGAGGTACAGGAAGATGCTGATACCTCACTTGACAAGTTAGAGAATGATGAGGAATGCTGGCTTTAATGCACTCTGTCTAGAAAAGGGCTCGCTGAGTAGAATAACGAGGTCGTGGTCTTCACGACTGTCTCTTCACCCACTATTCCACCCATGGCCATCTCCTTCCATAACAACCGCTGTCAATGCTCCTCATTCATGCTCCCCACACTGCTTGGCCATTTCCATGCATTCTGGGTCACAGTTTCTTTCAGTCTCCAAGGTGAATGCTTGCATTTCTTCCTTGGGGACTGCCTGGGGGAGCCCCAAATGCCTTGGAATGTGTGCACCCCCTGGCATCCTGCATTAAGGACCACTGTTGGTGGGAGTACGAGCTCCCTAGCTCCCCGGCTTCCTGCACTTTCGGCCTTCTCTGTCTCCAGTTTTTTTTGCATGACTGAGCAAAAAAAACCATCGAGGGACATGGATATCCCGCCCAGGTTTAGTCTGCTTCTCTCCCAGCCTTTCTTCCCACTCCCCTATAACATCACTTTCACACTCATACTAAGAGCCTGAGTCTGATAGAGCCAAATCTAAGAGACCCTCAAAAGCAACAACTCTGTTGAATTCTGTTCTAGTCAACAGTGCATCTCCATGAACTTTTGAAAACAGGGCAGGAACAGGACTGCCAGGGTCCCCTGATGGAAGCAGAAAAAAAAACCATAACCTTGGCCGGGCACAGTGATTCACACTGTAATCCCAGCACCATGGGAGGCCAAGGAGGGAGGATCACTTGAGGTCAGGAGTTCAAAGACCAGCCTGGGCAACCTGGCAAGACCTTGTCTCTACAAAAAAAAAAAAAATCATAAAATTACCCAGGTGTGGTGGCGTGTGCTTGTAGTCCCAGCTACTAGGGGGGATCACCTGAGCCCAGCAGGTCAAGGCTGCAGTGGCTGTGAGTGTGCCTCTGCACTCCAGCCTGGGTAACAGACAGAGTGAGACTCCAGCTCAAAAAATAAATAAATAAAAGAAAAAGGAAAAAACCTCAGCCTTGCCTCATCCTTTCAGTTCCCCACTTTTCCAGCCTATAGTTTTTCTATTTCACATAGTAATTCACTAGAAATGGGAAGTAAGTTATTGCAAAATCAGCCTCTTCATATGACTTCATAACCAGCTGAACTGGGTTCACCCTGAGATGTCCACACATCCTGGCCAAATTTCACATCATGATTTACAAATCGCCAACATAAATTATGAGCTACTAATGCTGCTGGAATTGGGCAGGGCAGTGGGACGCAGCCTTATATGGCCATAAATGAAGTCACAGGCACCTGGAAGGAAGGCAGGTCTTGTGTCAAAGTTAGGGAACAAAATGCATCTTCGTTTTCTATACAGCAATTGAGCATAATGTCCCTTTGCAGTGGCTTTGAGGCATACGGTAAGGGCTGTTCATTCTGTTTAGAATGGTGGTGATACAAATTTAAGCTCAGAAAGTACATTTTAAAACATTATATGATACCCACCAGGATAAATATAATTTTTAAAAACAGAAATAAGTGTTGACAAGGATGCAAAGATGTTGAAACCCACATATGTTGCTGATAGGAATAGAACATGATAACAGCCACAGTGGAAAACAACTTGACTGTTCTTCAAAAAGTGTTTCTTTCTTTTTTTTTTAAATTCAGGATCTCACTCCATTGCCCAGGCTGGAGTGCATTGGCACAATCACGGCTCACCACAGCCTTGGCTTCCTGGGCTCAGACCATCCTCCCTCCTCAGCCTCCCAAGTAACTGGGATTACAGGCATGCACCTCCACACCTGGCTAGTTTTAAAAACAAAATTCGTGAAGACGCAGTCTCACTGTGTTGCCCATGGTGGTCTTGAAATTCCTGGGCTCAAGCAATCCTCCTGCCTCGGTCTCCCAAAGTGTTGGGATTACAGGTGTGAGCCACCGCACCTGGCGGTTCCTCAAAAATTTGAACACAAGAGTTACCAGATATCCCAGCAATTTCACTCTTAAGTATATATCCAAGAAAATAAAACAAACACTTGCCTCAAACAAACACTTGCACAGTAATGTCCACAGGCAACATCACACACATTTGCCAAAAGGTACAGAAAACTCAAATGTCCATCAACAGGAAAACAGAGAATCAAAATGTGGTACGTCCATATGATGGAATGGTTTTTGACCATGAAATGAAATGAAGCATTGACACATCCTATGATATGGCTGAACTTTGAAGACATCATGCTAAGTGACATAAGCTACTCACAAAAGATCACATATTTTGTGAATCCACTTACACAAAATGTCCAGAAGAGGCAAAAACAACAACAACAACAACAACAAACCACCCATAGACACAGCAAGCATATTAATGGCTGGTAGGACCTGGTGGGATGGGGAAAACAGGGAGGGACTGCTTAATGGGCATGGGATGTCATTCTGGGATGATGAAAAGGTTCTGGAATCGCATAATGGTGATGGCTATACAACCTCGTGAATAGACTAAATGCCACCAAATTGCACACTTTACAAGGGTGAATTTATGGAACATGAGTTATATGAAGGGGGACCCCCCCAAAACTCAGAATGTATTTACAAAAAATTGTGTATTTATTCGTACATGTTTAAACTTCAGTCACCTTCCAAGTACTCTCTGTTTGATGCAATACACCTATTGAGACGCTTTTTTCACTGCTCAAGACAATTTTTGAGCATGTCCATTTTAGTGCTTCTGCTGGTTTTTGTTTCACCTCTTCTACATTGGCAAAACGTTTCTCTTTGAGGACTTTTTTCACCGGAGAACAACAACAAAAAATCCCTCATGGTGAGATTGGGGGAATAGGAGGGTGGGGCATGAAGGTCATGCTGTTTTGGGCCAAAAACTACTGAGTACTCAGCGTGGTGTGGGCAAGTGCGCTCGTAAATCACCCATTATGAAATGGGCAACACGCTGTAAGAATTTCCAAAAAAATTCACTGAAGCTGAACTCAGCCTCTTACCACAATGCTAGCTGGTCCATGGATGCTGACGGGTTCCTAGAACACTTACCTAGCAGGGGAAGCCTGTATTACAAGGGACCCAACCCTCCAAAAGGTAATTCTGGAGGGTTTTCTTGGGTCTCC